CTGTGATCAAACCTAGAAATTCCCTTCCTTCTACAATTCTGGTTGTGAACTGGATCAGTCTTAAGAGGAGCCTGAGTTTGTCCAATCTCAAACTCATATGGGAAGATAGCACCAAGCTGCCCTGAAAGTAAGCACCAAATTATCAATGTTAGAATCATGAAAGGCATAGGTAAGGTGAATAGCAAGGGTCTTTTCCTCGGATGGAGGAGTTCAAAACAAGGTGAAAGGAGAAAGATTTAAAAGACATGGGGAGCAACTTTTTATACACAAAGTGGTTTGTGTATGCAATGAACTGTCAGAGGAATTGGTGGATGCAGGTGCTGTTACAACATTTAAAAGACATTTGGATAAGTTCACCTTTTCCAAAACTTTCAATTCTCTGGCCCCCGACACCTCATCTTCACCATAGATGTTCAGTCCCTTTACATCTGTATCCTCCTTATGGATGACCTAAAAGCCCTGTGCTTCTCCTCTCCCATAGGCCCAATCAGACCCCTGCACTGACACTGTCATTCACTTGGCAGAACTGGTCCTCACCCTCAACGATTTTTCCTTTGATTCCTCCCACTTCCTACAAACCAAAGGGGTAGCCATGGGCATGTGCATGGGCCCGAGCCTGTCACTTTGTAGCATTCGTGGAACAGTCCCTCTTCCACAACTACACCGGCACCATCCCTCACCTCTTTCTCCACTATTTGATGACTGCTTTGGTGCTGCCTAGTGCTCCTGGGAGGAGCTCAATTAGCTCATCAACTTCTTCAACACCTTCCACCTCGCCCTCAAATTCACCTGGACTATTTCTGACACCTCCCTCCCCTTTCTGGATCTCTCCGCTTCCATCTCTGGAAACCAAATCACCGCTGACATCTGTTTCAAACACACTGATTCCCACAACTACCTCAACTATACCTCCTCTCAGTCACCCTACTGTAAAAATGCTATCCCATACTCTCAATTCCTCTGCCCCTGCTGCATCTGCTCCCAGGACGAGTTGTTTTACTCCAGCACATCCTAGATATCCTCCTACTTTAGGCACCGGAATTTCCCCTCCTCTGTAATTAAGGATTCTCTCAACCACATCTCCACCATTTCTTGCACTTCTGCCCTCAAACCCACTCCCTCAACAACAATAAGGACAGAGTCTCCTCAATCCTCACATACCACCCCACCAAACTCTGAATCCAACTCATCATCCTCTGACATTTCTGCCACCTAAAGTCAGACTCCATTGCCAAAAATATATTTCCCTCTCCACCCTTGTATACTTTCCGCAGGGACCGTTCTTTCCGTGACTCCCTTGTCAGCTGTACACACCACACCAACTTCTCCACTACACCTGTTACCTTTCCCTACAATCGCAAAAGGTGTAACACCTACCCCTACACCTCCCATCTCACCTCCGTCTAAGGCCCCAAACAATCCCTCCAAATCCAGCAGAGATTCCCCTGAACTTCATCCAACTTGACCTATTGTATCACTTGTTCCCGATGTAGTCTCCTCTGTATCAGGGAGATACAGCCTCGGGGACCAGTTCATGGAGCATCTGTGCTCTGCACGCACTAACCAACCCAACCTTCCGGATGCCATCCATTTCAAATCCCCCTCCCAATCCCCTGGCAACATGTCCATCCTTGGCATTTTCCACTGTCAGAGTGAGGCCAAACGTAAACTGGAGGAACAACACCTTATATTTCACCTCGGGAGCTTACAGCCCAATGGCCTCAATATTGACTTGATCAGCTTCAAAATCCCTCCACCCCCAGCCTTATCCCATGTCCAGCCCTCCCCCTCCTCCTCTCCTCCCTGACCTGACCTAACCAGTCCATGTTCCTACTTTCCCATGCACACCACCCTTCCCACTAACCAATCACAATAACTCTTTACCTGCAACCACCTTCCCTTCCCCCAGCCCCACTCCCTCCCTCTAAATACCTTGGGACTCCCCTCCCCCACCCAAGACCTGATGAAGGGTTTCGGCCCGAAAAAGACTTTCCAGCTCCTTGGATACTGTCTGACCTGCTGTGCTTTTCCAGCTTCACATCCATTGACTCTAGTTTCCAGCATCTGCGGTCCTTGCTGTCTCCAAGGTTTGGAGGGATATTGGCCAAAGTTTGGTTTGGTTTTGGAACATGGTCATCATGGAGTAAAGGTCTGTTTCCATGCTGTACAACTATGAGTCTATGACATAACGTCCATGAGGCTAACCAATTTGGCTTTTAGTAACAGACATTCTTCTGAGGAATTACAGCAGGTTTACATGACATATATAGCAATTTTCATTCTGAATCAATGCCATGCTATAGATGGCCAGGGAATGTTTGATGTGGACATACCTGTTGAATAAAAAAAGACATCCACCAGCATTAACATTCCTCCTGGTCCTTGATCAGCAGTAATGGTGTTCCGTTCTGTGCAATTTGCAGAGATAAGCACTCAGGGATTTGAGATGTAGAAACCCATAACATAAGGTTGAACAACTTTGGTTTTAAAAGTCATACGGTTTCATGGTGTATGAAGCAATTTCATAGCCAGTGTTAAATAGTTTAGAGATTAAATAACTTGAAAAATTAATCAAAAACCAATTTGCTTAATTTATTCATCTATAAGTCTGGGTATTTATTAATTTAGTAATTCAATGCAATTAAATCAAAAATCAGTGTACTAATTGATAAATATGCATATTTGTAAATTAATTTCTAAATTAAAGAATTCCCAATTACTCACATCCTCATTATATAATTTTAGTTATAAGTCTGTCTTTGTTATAAGACCATTGGAGCTTAGCTCTCAATTATTTTACAGGCAGATTTTATGCTATGTTATGGAACATTTACTATGGCATCATAAGGGAAAAATGCTTGACTCCCAATTTGCACAAAATTATATTGTTTCTGAATGTTATCTGAACATTGAATGAAGCTCCATTTTTCTAACTTTCTTTAAAAACTGACTCAGAAGTTCCTTAAGGAAGATGGGAACATAACACTCCTGTTTTACAGCTGTTCCCAACAACAACAGTCATGAATTATTAAACAAAAGAAACAGACTCATGTTTATGGACTAAACGGAACTTCGAACCAAATCATTCCATTTATGCGGTGTATCTCAGTTTTCTCATAAAATGTATTTCTAAATTAAATGTATAATTAAGGTTGTGGTCCCCTTGTGAGTGTGTAATGTACTGTAATGAAAGGAATTACTCCAATGCTGGGGTTTACTATAGCTCCCCTTGATAGGATTGTTAACGTAACAATATAATCAGGGTATGTTATAAAAATAATGGACTAATTAGTTTCTAGAGGTGATCTACAGCAGAGATTTGCAATACCTCTACTTCTTTCCTAGTGAAATCAATAGAAATTGTAAACACGTACAATGCAAGGTATCTTGCAGCTTTGCCACCCTCTTATTGCTTACTTTGAGTGGAATATATAATTTATCCTAAACACGCATTAGATAGTCTTTTAAGTTAGAGCATTTTGGAGTTATCTTTTTTTTAAGTTTTACTTTCCATCTGGATTTGTTGCCATCATGGTGAAATGAACCGAATCAGAGAATGTGACCTTCGAAACAATGTTAGACTTGACAGAAACTTAGGAGAAATGGAATTTGATTAATTCAGCTACTCTAAGATAGCACTGCTGAATACAATGTTTTGGAAATGTTCGTAAAATCGAGTTACTTGGGTTACCTGCTTTTTGTGCTAATTTCGTATCTTTTTTGTTATCATCACCTATTTTGAAGTCTCAACCTGCAGTTTTAATGAAAGGTATTATCAGCCCTGCAAATAACTGACCCTATTGCCAAAAGAATGTCAATTGTAAGTTATTCCAGCTCATTTCTTGGAAATGAGTCAGTCTGCAAACCAATATATTGAACTTTTAAAAAAAAAAAAATTCGAAAGAACTACTGATGCTGGAAATTAGAAACAAAACAGAAATTGCTGGAAGCTTTGTCCAGCACCTCATTTTCTGTTTGCAGCCTTCTGGACCTAATATCAAATTCAACAATTTTAGGGCTTGAGGCACCTAGTCCCATGTCCTTACCCCAACCCCCAAAACTATGCCTTTTCATCACATGGGCTGCTACCACAGACAACCCATTGTTAACTACTAACAGACCCCATTAGCAGCTTTTCGTCCCCCCAGACTGACTTTTACCCATTCTTCTGTCCAACTCATTTTGTCTCTCTCTGGGCTCTACCTATTGTTTACTCTCCCACCCTCTCCCCACCCCATCTTCTGCATAAATACCAAACTTTTCTTCGCTGCTATCAGTTCTGAAGAAGGGTCCCTGGACCTGAAACATTAACTCTGATTTCTCTCCACAGATGCTGAGTTTCCAAGCAATTTCTGTTTTGAATCTATTGAATCATTTCAAGTGTTTACACAAACCATTAATGTTCCATTTACATTGCAATTTTACTGTTACTTACAAGTTCAAATAAACAATATGAAATTTCCTAGAGGAAGTATTCTCATGGTACAGTACATCTCCAGTGTAGCATGAAACTAAGATTTCCAAATGTGCTTCGAGGGAAATATAATCAATAGAACTTCTTTCAAAACTTACCTCGAGTTCATTTAAATCCCTTTTGTTGACTCATTTAGCGTTGATTCTGCACTGATCGACTTGGACAATACTGATGCCTATGCTCTCTAGGCATTAACATGGTTAGAGAGGAACTTGTTGCATGATGGTAACTATACGTACAAAGAGTTTTGTCCTGAGCAGTAAGATAACAGTTCAACTCAAGAAATACAAGTAAGTGCTTCCAAGCTGGAGGCAATTTTAATTAAGATGAGCTGGACAATTATTCTGACATTGGTTGCTACAGTATAAGGCTAGAAACTGTTTGCAGTCCAAGCACTTCGGTTGACATAAAACCAAAGATTTTATAATACAGATTTAGACCACCTCTACTTGTCACATTGTCTGTCTAGCATGAATTTTAACCAAAGAATGACAAAATTGTTAATCCCATTTATCCTGTGTTGCAGCTGGCAGTTTTACAGTGGATGAGATCATCACATCCTACAAATTAAGCTGTGAAAAACTTGGTGTACAGCCTATTCACAAATTGCTGACACAACTGCAGGTAAGCTCTGTTCAGACATACTAATCTATTTGACAGGCAGAATCCTCCAGTCCCTGAGGTGTTGGATCACTTGATCATTGGATTAGGTGGAACACCAATCTCTGCCTCCACTAGAATTAAGTTCTGGGTAGACAGGCTCCCTCTCTGCCCACAGTTGAGGCCCTTAAAGTGGTCAATTAATGATACTTAAGACTTATTTAAGAGCTTATTTCTGCAATTATTGCAATTATTTTGTCTCTAAGTGGGAGGACAGTGACATATGTGACTGGCAAACCAGTGCAATTTGCAAGCCAGGGTGATAAAACATTGAGGGTTCTCTCAATCTGCACTAATTTTGCACAATTGAGGGACTGAACAAAGGGGAGAGGGTGGCTGTTTAAGCCCATGTCCTTGCCCTTGATCCCAATGCCTCCTGTCCCCCCGACTCCACAACATCAGAAATCACACATTCCCCCAACAAATAAATTCGACACCTTGATACTCACAATCTTGGCTGTTCTTCTGCTATGACCTCCCTATTGTGCTGCAGAGTGAGAGAAATGTCACCCTCTTTTTGGCTGGCAGCTCCCAGGTGGAACTTCTAACCATGGGAATGTGATTTTAGAGGAAGACACTCTACTGCCCTCTAAAGTGATTGGAAGAAGATATCAGAGATAGTAGGAACTGCAGATGCTGGAGAATCTGAGATAACAAGGTGTAGAGCTGGATGAACACAGCAGGCCAAGCAGCATCATAGGAGCAGGAAGGCTGACGTTTCGGGCCTAGAGATGTCAGCTTGTTTGTCTCACCACCTTTTGAGCAAATGATCAAGACAATTGACAAAGGCAACATTCCTCTCAATTTCTGCAATTTACCTGTGTCCTCATAAAAATAGTGTAATGTGATTGGCCTTTATGTGACATGTTTCATTGCCTATGCAGATTTTATTTTTATTTCCTGAAATTCCTAAAACCAGTTATGAAGTAATATTTCTTTGATATCGCAGTAAAGCAGGTTTTTAAAACTGATATTGTGAAATAAATTGGAACTTTTTTTAACTGATCCATTATTTTTACCTCCCATTTTCTTCCTCCTGGTACTTTCGACATTGTACTTGCACCATCGGGGCTCGGAAAGTGACTTGTTCATTTAATGCCTCTTGTAAAATTAGTTTGTATTAAATCAGTGTATAAGCCGCTGCCTCTTATAGAGTCAAAAATAGTTCAAGTTGCCCTATTAGATTGGAAAATATTTTAAAGCTTAGAGAGCAGAAGGCTATACAGAGACTCGAACTGGCACCAATCTTTATTGCAACTTTAAAGACAAAACAAATATTACCTTTATATGAGATAGTAGGAGCTGCTGATGCTGGAGAATCTGAGATAACAAGGTGTAGAACTGGATGAACACAGCAGGCCAAGCAGCATCAGAGGAGCAGGAAAGCTGACGTTTCGGGTCTGGACCCTTCTTCAGACCTACACCTTGTTATTTTACCTTTATATGGCCTCTTCCACAACCCAAATGTTGGACATTTTGGGGACGTCACAAAATGTTTTATAACACATAAAATACATTTGAAGTGTGTTTATTTAAAATGCAGCAGCCAATTTGCTCACAGCAAGCTTCCACAATCAGTCATGTGATAATCTGCTTTCATCATAGAACATAGAACATAGAACAGTACAGCACAGCACAGGCCCTTCGGCCCACGATGTTGTGCCGACCTATTATCCTACTAAGATCAATCTACCCTGCATACCCTACATTTTACTATCCTCTATGTGCCTATCCAAGAGTCGCTTAAAAGTCTCTAAAGTTTTATTGCTTTTTGTTGAAAAACAAATATTGTCTAAGACACAACTATCCTGCTTTCCTCAAAATAGTGCCTTAGGATATTTTATCTCTCACTGAGAAAAAGAGATGGGCCATAGTTCAATACCTTACCCGAAAGACAGCACCTCTAATTGTGTGGCATTCCATCAGTACTCTACTATGGCATCAGCTTTGATTTTTGTGCTCAAATTCTAGTGTTCCACTTGAAACTAAAATCTTAGCAGCTTCAGAGCTGAGATTGCTATCAACTGAGATATGGTTGGTTCAACACTCGATATGTGAAATGGTCTCAAAGAGAAGGTAATTGATGATGAAGTTGATGATTACTTCAAACATAAGTGGATTGATACCTATTGACAAAAAAATGTCGGGACCACGACATACTAACATCACTGTTTCAACCTTATTTTTTGTAGCAATAGGGGAAGGAGGGGGCCTGTTAGCTCAGTTGGCTAGATGGCTAGCATGCAGTCCAGGATAATATTAACAATGTGTGTTTGTCTCATCTGGGGGAAGCTAGGGGCTTCTCTCTTTGCTCACCTGTCTCTGAGACTGAAAAGCAATGTATGGATCACTGGAAGAGAAAATAGTTTCAGGATAGAGCAACAGCAGACAATGCACTGGGATCCTGCCTTTAGCCAAAGTATGTACAAATAAAGGGAAGGAACTTAGGTGTGGATTACATGTTGAGGGCAGGCTCCCTACACCCCAGCATAGTTTTAGGGTGAGTCAACCTCCATTTTGTTGACTTATATCACTTAGTTTTTGAGATATGACCCGTTAATTAGTATGAGTTCATGATATTACAATGAAGTTCCTGCCATGAATACCAAATGTGGACTGTGAACAGAGTTGCTTTCATGGATCAAATAGTTTGCCCCAGTTTTCTTAAGTTCAGTCCACAGATGCTACCTGATTTGCTGACAGTTTTGAGCATCTTCTGAAAAGGGAATGATAGCTAGCATCAATTTTGTTACAAACTCATCTTGCAGAGTGACTGTCTTCAGTCTGCAGTTAACATGTAGCCTAAATTTACCATTGATACAGTGCATGCTGACATGAAAAGAGGCATCTCTCAATTATTAAATTTGGACTAATGTATCCTTGCCATGTTGGTTCTATTCTTTAGTACAATAACACATCAGGAATTATGAATTGAGGGGAATATGAAATCAAAAAGAGGCATTTTTGTGCTCTTTACAGTTGGATTGGAATGAATGCTTTTGAACCTACTGCAGACTGTAATGGTCCTTTCATGCGTTTGTGTAATTCTGATACAATACAGCTCCCATCAGAAAGTCAGCACCCAATCCCCAATTATACTCTCTCCCTAGCCACACATTTAATCTAATCAAATCATGTACAATGTCAATGTACTGTTTGACTCTGAGCTGAGCTTCAAACCTCTATGCCATTTGTTACCAAGACACCCTGCTTTTGCATTCTGTAACATTTCTGACCGCTGCCTGTATTCCCCATTAGAAGAACCATCCACTCTTCTTTACTTAGTACCATAGGCTCTTTAATATCCATCTGAACAAGCAGGGAGAGACTTTGGTGAGGACCTATGAGGACATCGGGGTTAACACCCTGACAAGAACATTCATCAAGGGCATCAAATGAATCCTGAAGTGTATCCTCCCCACCCCCAGTCCATCCAGTCCATTTGAATTCCTCATCAAGGATATATCTGAGTTTACCATTCAGTTTATACCTAGGAGTTATTGATGTTTAAATATGACTTGCTCAACTGGTTTATGTCAACCATTTCTGATAATATTAGAATCTATACTGTCAACCTTCTGTCATGAGCTATACAAGAATGGATTAACTATTTCCACCCATCATAATGAACTAGACAGAAAATCATAAACTAGCAATTATTTATCAAGTTTGGAATGATAGTTAGCAGCAATTGTAATCAAGCATTCAGCATGCAAATAATTAAATAAGGATCATTGATAAAATAAATAATGCAGGTTATTAGGGGGTTCAGTTGTGTCACAATAATTCAATGTTAAGTGCTTGCTGAAAACTTTACAATTGACAGCTCTATTTGAGACAATATAAATTAGTTAAATTGATTTCAGTTTAGATTCTTTAGATAAGTGACAAGCTAAAAAACATTAGGTAGTTAATCTATTTAATGGATTAGGGTTTATAACCTTGTAACTAGCAATTTTTTCCCTAAAATTTATACATCCTTGTCCTCATGACCTGGAATAGGTGAATTAATTGTATTACCTTCATATAATTTCAGTTTTTTGAGACATCAAAGTAACACATTCTTGTAAATCTGTTATCCATTCTTTCTGGGTCCTCTGCTTCTGGTAAATTTATTTATTCTTGTATTGGTAATTGTACTAGCTGGTTTATATCCTACCTCCCTTGATGTCTAGAAAATCAGTACATCTCAGTAATGTATTTATAGTGTATTTGCTCACCAAGCGCACTTCCTAATTTGATAGAAACACCTTCCTATCAGATGACATATTTTTCCTCCAGAGGCTATAAATGAGAAAAAAAAAACAATAAACTAAAATCTAAAGAATAAAAACAAAATGCTGAGAACTAAGGACTGAATTATTGTGTTAAAACATGATCTTACTTATGCCAATATAATAAAACACCAAACTGTGGATATTGAAGATCTGAAATAAAAACAAAAACAGACATTACTGGAGAAACTCAGCCCATCTGGCATTATCTGTTTGGAGAAAGCAGATATTTCAAGTCTGGTGACTGTTCATCTTTATGCCCTTCACTTCTAAAATATTCTTGGTACTATTGACCACATGAATGATTTGTGTTGGAAGAGTTCACCACTTCTGATCTTAACCATCTTTCACAGAACTGCCTCCAAACCAATGGAGCATTGGTATCGAGACATGCTGGATCATTGATAGTAGGAACTGCAGATGCTGGAGAATCCGAGACAACAAGGTGCAGAGCGGATGAACACAGCAGGCCAAGCAGCATCATAGGAGCAGAAAGGCTGACGTTTCGGGCCTAGACCCTTCATCAGAAAAGGGGGAGGGGAAGGGGGTTCTGAAATAAATAGGGAGAGAGGGGGAGGCGGATAGGAGATGGATAGAGGAGAGGATAGGTGGAGAGGAAACAGACAGGTCGAAGAGGCGGGGATGGAGCCAGTAAAGGTGAGTGTAGGTGGGGAGTTAGGGAGGGGATAG